TTTCGTCAGGTTAGCCCGGGGAACTTAGACTGAAAAATAAACCAACCAGTGGCGGAAACGTGAGCTGGGGCTGTGTGACTCGCGGAGGCTGCCGCGCGCAGAGAGAGCGTGCCGGGCACAAGTAGATAGGGAACGCTGGGCTAGTGCGAGGCCGTGGTGCGGGCGCGAAGCCGGGAAGCCGCGCAGATGAGAGAAGCGCTGGCTGAAGCGGCTCAGAGCCGGGAAGCCACCGAGAAGCAGCCTCGGGGCGGGCGCCGGGAAGCCACAGGGATAAGAGAAACAGAAGTTTTAGAAGTAAAATGAGAGAAATAGGAATGCTGGTAGATAGAAGTAAAATGGAGTGACACAACAGCCAGGCCTTGGCTAGGGAAGGCCAGGAGCCTGGCTCTCTCCTGTGGGGTGGCAGAGGTGCATATACCTGTGTGGTCATCATCTGCTGCTCCCTAGATGTTCATTCGCAGGGAGCTGCGATCAGAAGGGGAGCCTGGAGCCCAGAGCAGTCACGTCAGACCCTCCCATAGGGGATGCAGGTGTCCCAGCATCTTCTCAGCCACAGTGCCAAACCACTGAACTGGACACGTGGGAGGGGTTCTCCATCTCCCCTCTTGCCAGTTTTTTCTTACTAAGCCATCACTTGTAATTCAAGCTCTAGATCGTCCCTAGCTCCTCTGTGACTTGGATTTGTTCTTCCTGCCCTGGTGCTCCATGTAGAGGTTCGGGTTTGAGGCCGGGGAATGGTTCCCACAGCAGCTAGTGAGACAAGGCAGCGTGACGCTCTTTCATTAGCTTGAATGACCTGAGCCCAGAAACACTGGCTCCATCGCTCCAGCATATGACGTCACACTGAAATGTTGACATGCTTCGTCAGTGCTTATGACTTCAGAGGAGAGGGTCCAGGTTCAAGGTACAGGTAAATCAGAGGTGTCTCGGAGTGTCCATCAGATGGGCCATGGGCTGGCCTTTTTTTTTTTTTTTCTTAAAGAGTTTATTTATTTGAGAGGTAGAGTAACAGACAGTGAGAGGAAGAGACAGAAAGAGGTCTTCTATCTGCTGGACAACTCCCCAGATGGCCGCAACGGCCAGAGCTGAGCCAATATGAAGCCAGGAGCCAGGAGCCTCTTCTGGGTCTCCTACATGCGTGCAGGGGCCCAAGGACTTGGGCCATCTTCCACTGCTTTCCCAGGCCATAGCAGAGAGCTGGATCAGAAGAGGAGCAGCCAGGACTAGAACCAGCGCCCATATGGGATGCTGGCACTGCAGGTGGAGGATTAACCTACTTTGTCACAGCGCCGGTCCCAGGCTGACCATTTTGTTTAAAAATGTATGATATTTCACATTCTATACAAAAACTATTTCAGAAAAACTGCACAACATCCGATTGGCATGGGTTTTTGAGATGCTTTGCCTTGATTTAAGGTATCGTGGGATGGTTCCCTTCCTCACTGAAGTGCTTTTCACACTGAAATGGTCAGAAGACTAAAACACAAGTTCTGGATCACTGTGATTCCAGGAATGAGTTCCAGCCTCACTCTCAGCGATTTCTTTTTCTTTTTGGCATTCGCACCTTATATTCTTTTATTATTGTATTCCCCTACCAAGAAACCTTTTATTTAAGGAATGCAAACTTCATGCATTTCATAAGTACAACTTTAGGAACATAGGATTCTTCCCACTATTTCCACCCTCCCACCCATACTCCCACACCTCTACCTCCTTCCTCTCCCATTCCCATTCTCCACTAAGATCCATTTTCAATTAACTTTATACACAGAAGACCAACTCTATCCTAAGTAAAGAGTTCAACAATTTGCACAGAAAAAACAAAAACAAAAACAAAAACAAAAAACTGTCCTCAACAGTGGAGACAAGGGCTGTTCAAAGTCATTGCATCTTGAAGTTAATTTCATTTCATTTTTTTTTTTTTAGAAATTTAAAGAAGCACCCAAGAATGATATATCTTTTGTGAGCCCTTAGACATAATAATAATACAACTCATTGAGGACAGAGGTCCTGCATGAGAAGTTAGTGAACAGTGACTCTTGTTAATTTTTTTTTTTTTGACAGGCACAGTGGATAGTGAGAGAGAGAGACAGAAAGGTCTTCCTTTTGCCGTTGGTTCACCCTCCAATGGCCGCCGCGGCTGGCGCACCGCGCTAATCCGAAGGCAGGAGCCAGGTGCTTCTCCTGGTCTCCCATGGGTTGCAGGGCCCAAGCACTTGGGCCATCCTCCACTGCACTCCCTGGCCACAGCAGAGAGCTGACCTGGAAGAGGGGCAACCGGGACAGAATCTGGCACCCCGACCGGGACTAGAACCCGGTGTGCCGGCGCTGCTAGGTGGAGGATTAGCCTATTGAGCCACGGCGCTGGCCGACTCTTGTTAATTTAACAATTAGCACTATTATGTATGACACAAGTGATCACCTGAGGTTCTTGACATGAGCTGCCAAGGCTATGGAAGCCTTTTGAGTCCACAAACTCCGTCAGCATTTGGACAAGGCCATAAGCAAAGTGGAAGTTCTGGCTTCCCTTCAGAGAAAAGAAGCTCCTCCTTTGATGACCCCTTCTTTCCACTGGGCTCTCACGCACTGAGGTCCTTCATGTAGGACATTTTTTTTCCCAGGGTCTGGGCTGTCCAGGCCTGAAATGCTCTTGTGGGCTTTTCAGCCAGACCAGAATGCCTCAAGGGCTGATTCTGACTCAGGGATTTCAACAGACACATGGGATGATCCTTCCCACACCTGGACTGTTGTACCTTGAATTCCTCCAGCCTCCCTAGAACTTGTCATTAATAACTGCACCCACCCCCACTATTCCCACTCCGCAGCTATGCTGCCTTCTATCTTTCCCCGAGTCCGATAGGCCTTCAATCTCACCAGGCCCACAATCTGTGGCTCCTACCAGGTTGCCACTATCCCTCATCCTCCCTGGGTCCTCACTTCCGCATCTTCTGGCCTGGATTCTGTGGTCAGTCATTGTTAACACTCCCTTGCACATGCCCTCAACACCTGGGTCTCTCTTCCTTCTACTCACTTGGCTGAATGCAGCACTTCACCGACTCCATGCCAGCCCCGTGCCGCTGAGCTCCCCTGCAGGAGCCCACATAACACACTGGCCAGTCTGAACACCTCCAAGTGATCATCACAGGCCTTACGAAGTTCCTCGGGTTGCCTGGAACCATCTCACACCTCCTTGGTCTGTCTGTTCAGCTGAATGCCTGTGTCACACCTCTCTCCTCACACCACCAGGGTCTCCGCATGGCCCAGCTTCGCATTTCACGGACAGCAGTGTCGTATTGAAAGACAACAAGTTCTCACGATCAGGGTCACCAGCTACCTAGAGCCAGGCCTGCTGATTCCAGCTTCTCTCCTTGTGATTGAAGAATAACTGTCTCTGTTCTGGACTAAACTCAGCTCTGTTCCTCTTGCACTAGATCACCTGCCCACCTCCCTGCCCAGGCATGTTGCTCCAGACACTTTCCCTTCATATCAATTTGCTCCTTCCCATCAGTGACAAACACACTGCCTCTTCCAAATATACCATTATTTTTCTATTTAAAAATAGAACAGGGGCCGGCGCTGTGGTGCAGAGGGTTAACATCCTGGCCTGAAGCACCAGCATCCCATATGGGCGCCGGTTCTAGTCCTGGCTGCTCCTCTTCTGATCCAGCTCTCTGCTATGGCCTGGGAAAGCAGGAGAAGGTGGCCCAAGTCCCTGGGCCCCTGCACCCATGTGGGAGACCTGGAAGAAGCTCCTGGCTCCTGGCTTCAGATCAGCGCAGCTCCGGCCATTGTGGCCAACTGGGGAGTGAACCATTGGATGGAAGACCTTTCTCTCAGCATATCTTCTCTCTGTGTAACTCTGACTTTTGAATAAATAAATCTTAAAAAAAAAAAAGAACAAAATAACAAAATCCATTTTTCCCCATCCTTTTATACTAAACTCCTTAAGGGGTGAGCATTGTAGTGCTGCTTATGATGTCAGCATCCCGCATCCATGTGCCAGTTCCAGTGCCTGCTACTCTGCTTCCGATCCAGCTTCCTGCTAACGCATGGGGGAGGGAAGCAGATGATGGCCCAAGTACTTGGGTCCCTGCCACCCACATGGGAGACCCGGATGGAGTTCCTGGCTCCCAGATTTGGCCTGGCCCAGACCTGGCTGTTATTTCTCATTCACAAAATGCTCAAAAAGAGTGTTCCTGGTGAGTGGCTCCTTA